GGCATGGTCGAAAGATTCAACCGAACTATGGAAGAACATCTTTCCAAAGTAGTCGAAGAGCATCAGAGGGACTGGGACAGGCATCTTCCCTTATTCCTGATGGCGTATAGAGCAGCTGTCCATGATTCAACGAAGCTAACTCCAGCTAGTATAGTCTTTGGAAGAGAACTCCGCTTACCTTGTGACTTGGTGTTCGGTTCACCAAGTGTTGAAGAAAAGGAAGTACAAGACTACGCAGATGAGCTCCAGAATGGCTTGATGAAAACTCATGAGACTGCTCGGAAAAGATTGAAATTAGCAAGTGACAACATGAAGGCACGGTATGATCTCAAAGCCAATTCAGAGGGATTCTTTGAAGGAGATCGAGTTTGGCTGTATAATCCTCGACGGAAGAAAGGCGTATCACCCAAATCAACACCATCTTGGGAAGGACCGTATAAGGTGTTGAAAAGGATCAATGATGTGGTCTACAGAATCCAACGCAGCCCTAGGACAAAGATGAAAGTCGTTCATCTTGAAAGACTGAAGCGCTACCATGGTGAGGAGAGTTCTGTTTTTGATCGGGACGATCAAATTTGAAGAAGGGGGTAAATGTTACGACCCTGGCAATCGATCCCAGCTACCTGCGGCGGCAAGTAAACAAGCCATATTTTTTGGAATAGTAATTAAGTGGATCGACGGCTATTGAGATGACTCTAGAAGATTATCGACCTGTTCACGATATTTCGAGTGGAATCTAGACGTTTTATTAGGTAGTATAAATAGTTGTTGTTAGGGACAGGAAGAAAAGTCTTTAGTTGGAAGCGTTATAATAACGATCGAAGAAGTGTTGTGAATCGGAAGTGTTTAGTACGAGTATTGTAATTATTGTATAGAAGTGTTCAGAATAAATTATTTTAAGTGTTATACCGAGTGTTAAGTTATTACGGACCCAGAGTAAAATCGTAACGATATTATTAAATAGGTTTGCAATTTTGGGAACGTCCCATGCCCACCGAGTATGTTTGGCGTGGCAGAAAGCCCGAAATGAACGCCCTAGCTCCCGCATAACTCGCTCTGAAGGATTTCCTTCAGGGTGCCTAATGGAACTATAGACCACCCGTATCCCTAGGCGAGCCAGGGCCTCCTGCCACAACGCAGAAGTGAAATGAGTCCCATGGTCGCTCAGAACCCGTTGGGGTTTTCCAACATGTTTCACGTAATCTGTCGTGAAGTGCTCGACCACAGATTCAGCCGTTGCTCGCTTCAACATGTACAATGCGACAAACTTCGTGAATACATTCAGTTCCACCAACAGAAATGCCACTCCTTCACGCGACGGTAGGAGTGGTCCATACAAATCTACTGCGACCAGGTCTCTGGGGCCTTCAGAAATGATTGGCTCCATGGTGGGTTTCAGTCTTATGAAGGCGTTGCTTTTTTAACACAAATCACACAATTTCACGGTTCGTTTCACCAATTTGTGAAGTCCGCGACACCAGACATCTGTCCTTAGAGTACACCATGTCTTATACACTCCGAAATGACCAAACTCTTCGTGATAATACAGAATGAGCTTCTGGACTAGAGACACGGAAATACACAGTAGACACTTGTCTTCTTGTTGAAAATACAGAAGGTCGTCATGGAGAATAAATCTATCGGAAGGTATTCCCTTTTCCGAATTGGCAATTTCCGTATCGGAACGCTAACCTGTTGGCAAAAGTTGGAGGAATTCTTTCCATTTCGTAGAATCTATTGAAATAGAAAGGACACGAAAAATTTTGTCCCCAGGTACCGGCACTCTAGCAGGGGGATTTCGAGAAAGGGTATCAGGGATAACATTACTAGACCCCGAGATATATTCAATGTCGAACGAAAACTCCCTGCACGCCAAGACCCAACGAGTAATCCTAGCAGACAATAAACGACACGACCGCAAAAATGAGAGAGACCGATGGTCACTGAAAATAGTGAAATGACGACCCAACAAATAAATCCTTCACCTTTTGAGTGCAAAAATAATACCTAACAATTCCCGCTCGGGGACCGAGTATCTCCGCTCCCGTTCGAGCAGCAACCGACCAGCGTATGCCACTACGAACTCAGTATTACCACTGCCACGTTGATATAAGACGGCGCCCAAACCTACATCGCTGCAATCTGTCTGGACTATAAACTGTTGATCTTGCTAGGGATGATATAATAGTACCTCCTTGCAAATTATTTCCTTCATCTCCTTGAACGCCTACGCCTAAGACTCTCCCCAAAACCAACGAGAACGTTTTCGAAGCAGAGCAACTAGGGGCTCGGAGACTTGTGCGAACTCCGCCGAAAAGCTACGGTCATAGTTGCAAAGTCCTAAGAAGCTATGCATCTCTTTGATGTTATTAGGTTTTCGAAAATCCCGTATCGCCTGAGTGCGAGTTGGATCGGCTTTCCAGCCTTCCGAGTTGAGCACATATCCCAAGAACTTCATTTCTTTCTTGAAGAAAACACATTTCTTCAAACGGAGTGTAAACCCGGATTCCGCAAGCCTAGTCAGTACCAGGTCCAGATGACGGATATGTTCGTCGAAGGAATCGGAAGTTATCAGTATATCGTTTACATAAACGTGTACAAAATTCTGTAAAAAAGGTCCCAGAATTTGGTCCATACAGCGGGTGAAATTGGATACTGCGGTTTTCAAACCGAACGGCAACACTTGAAATTGGTGGATACAATCTAACGAACTCATATACCTGACACTAGAAATTTCCATCATGATTTCCTCAATGGGTTGCGGCAGTTGTCTGCTTCCATGACGGAATTAAGCTTCCTGGCGTCCAGACAGACTCTTATGCTACCATCCTTCTTGATGGTAGTCGCCAAAGGGCTGCAAAATGGGCTGTTGGATCTCTCGATGACACCCCACTGTTCCATTTTATCCAATTCAGATTGTACTGCGGAACAATGAGCAAAAGGAACAGGGTACGGCCTAATTGAGAAAGGGGTTGGATCTGTTAGATTTATAGAATGTTCGTACTGAGTTACTCTACCGGGTACTTCAGAAAACATATCATGATGTTTTTGTAATAATTCTCCAAATATTGAAGACTGACTTGGAGACAACTCAGCTGAACTGATTACCTCCTCGAAACTAGCAAAAACATTATCGGTGGCAATCACAGGTGGGTGCGACTGATTTATAGCACATAATCGGAGGGAATCAATCTTTTCCAAAATTGGCTCTGTTTCGTGTTCCAGATACAGCTCGGGAACAACAAACTCACGGTTATCCAACTTAAGGAAAATCCTTCCCAATTCCAGGTCGATCTTTGAATGATAATTTCGTAAAAAATCGATTTCCAAAATAACTGCATCCGGGATGACCATGAACTCAAAACTGAAAGATTCCCCTTGCAAATCAAAAAGAAGAAAATCTTGAGCTGAAACTCGGCGTTGTTTTGCCTCGAAAGCCCTGGTTATTCGAGTACCACTGACATTGAAAAAGGTCAATTTGGGCAAAGAAACCGTGAATTGACCAAAAATTTCATCAGACATACAACATATATTACTGCTCGAATCGATCAGTGTGGAAAAATGCAAACTTCAATTTCGACAAAAGGTGACCGAGGGATCGGTACAGTATGGCCACTATCACACTCCTCGAATAAATATTCGACCGGATAATTTCCACGATTGATCCTATTGAAGTCAGTCCTACCCAAAACCCCTACCACCGGACTATGTTGATGGGTTTCACTCAGTTTTCCGACACATCTACGCACTCATCAATCGAGTTCCTGGCCGAGACGTTTTTCGTAAAAGCGGACTCACCAACATTCCCGCTACCTTTGAATGGCCTAGGATCTCGACGAATATTGTTAGCGTTATCACGATTGAATCTATCTGCCGGACGGGAAATATAATCGGCTTGTGAAAACAACGTGATAGCGTTGGTTACAGTGTTTGTCCCGATCAGCGATGCAGCCACAGATAACGGAAAATGTCTTGCGATCATGGATATTAAAAGGGGTTCTGATAACACTGGTTGCAGATACCTGCTCTTTGAGAGAAAATTTAGGAAATAATCTACATAATTTCCTTCGCTAGGTCGGTATTTACCCGTTTCTAAGAGACTAAGAATTTCTAACTGGCTTGCGTCGCCCCAAAAATAGCTAAGAAATGAACGCTTTAATTCAGGAAAATCCGCAAAGTTGTAGAGCATCGCATACGCCCACAGCTTTGCTTTCTTCTTGAGAAGGGCATGACACCAGTGAGGGACTACATGGAAAGGCATTCTCAATTGATTTATGGAGTATTCTAATTCATCTATCAATAAAACCGGATGAATTCCCTCATTATCAAAAAAAAAGAATTAATCTTGTGGCTTTTATATTATCGAGGTTATTTTTGGAAAGTGGCATGGGTTGGGAGTTCAAATTCCCCATCACATTATAATAATTGTTACTATACCCACTAGGACGAATAGGCTGGTTACCTGACACACCCTGTATAGTATTTTTTGGGCTGAGATTTTTATCATTTATTCGTACATTTTCAGAGCCCTGTGTACCAATTTGCTGAAAACCATGTGGGGGATTGTGACTCTGATAATGAACTGGAATATTGAGAGTAACACCCTGTGAAGGATTGACCAAGGGATTCATATTTGGATACATTGAAGTAGAAACATCATTTTGGACACCCGTTATTGGGAACCCATATTTGTGGGAACAGATCTGCATGGTTGAGTATTCAAAATCCGATATGGTTTTTCGGCATAACAACTCCTACCCGATACAGTATTTTCCTCGCTATTTGGACAATAATCTGAGGTGATATTTTTGGAATGATCAGATTGGTCACTTGTACAGGGGACACTCTGTGAATCATTTGTTTTCTGACAATAATTTCTATCAATATGAGGTCTAGAATGAAGATTTTCAAGATGCCCACCCTGTATGAAATGTTGGTTACCACCTGGAACTTTGTCCTGGGCCCGGTCTCCGTTCGCGCGTGTAAATTTTGTAAGCAGGTTAGGTTACGAAAGGTCGTGACTTGTTGGTACGACGATCGCCCCAGGCCGGCCGGGTACCACCGGTACCTACGCGGCACGATCGCGAAGAGAAGAACTCGAGGAACGGAGAAGTGAACTCGGCCATACTCCCTTGGCCCCGCTACGGATGAGTCGAATACCATAGAGTTAGATCATCATCCCAGCGCGAACTCAACACATGGACGTACCGATACCGATATATGGGTGCTGAGACAGCACACCCAAGTAGCTGCTCCGGCAAACGTTGTTTTGCTTAATACATTATTTTTGGAAAATATTTTTTCAGGAGGGGTGAAAGAACTTAGTCACAACTCTATAACTCTTGAACGTGAGAAAGTCAGAAATTTCAGGTTATAGTGTGCGAACGGTCAGCTCACATAGTCGGGGCAAATGGGTCGTGGTTCATTTACTTACCATATCATGTAACTTTGTCGAAAATATAACAATTGGCATAAGAAAGATTTTTCCACCAGATAAGATTTTAAGTGGTACTTGTTTTTCCAAAATAAGCTCCCTCATCAACAGATTGTGACTGAACATTTTCAAGAGGGTCACCTTGTCTAGGATTTTGGTTTTCAAAATGAAACCTATCATCAACAGGTGGGGGCTGAACAGGTTCACGAGGGTCATCTTGTATAGGATTTCGATTTTCATAATAAAACCTATCATCAACAGGTTGGGGCTGAACATTTTCACGAGGGTCACCCTGTATAGGATTTCGATTCTCAAAATAAAACCTATCATTCACAGATTGGAACTGAACATTTTTACGAGGGTCACCCTGTATAGGATTTTGATTTCCAAAATAAAACCTATCATCCAGCCTCTGGAACTTTTGATTTAACATTTTTACCAATGTCATCCTGTATATTAGTCATGAAAGGTGATCTGGATAAAACATCCAAATTCACTCCAGGGTCAGTAAATGTCCTGATAGGAGGTTTATGACTATGATAATAATTATTAACTGAAGGTACTCTGTCTGGTAACAATTTTTTTCCTAAATTATTTGTACTCTGTGATGACTGTGTTGTATCACACAATGGAATATTCATTTGATTATTATGGGTTGGCTCAGCACTTTTTTGTGCCCCCGGTACTATAGTTTGGCTGAAAAATTGATGTTTTTACTGATGTCACCCTCTAAACCTGTGTTTAGAAGACTTTCTCCTACCACTGATTTTTTGCTATTATGGCCCTGTGGCTCTGTAACATCTGCAAATTGTTCTGAAGCAGTCTCACCACGGAGTGGCCCCTTGGGTTTGGCCTGCGCACACAAAGCTGAGGCTGTCTCAGGATCTACTAGACTAGGCCTACCTTGATGCTGCTTATCATGCAGCTCACCCTGTTGACCTATGCCCCCGTCATGTGCTCTGGGGGTACCCATGGGGGACATTCCCCTACCTCGTCCTCTTGCTCTTGTTCCATATTGGTGTACTGGGGTATGGATTACCATTCTTTCTGGGGTTCAGTACCAGAATAACTTTGGGGTTGCGATGCTGGTGGACTGGGTTGGCTGTTGTCGACTGCCCGAACTTCACTAGCCCCACGTTGGGCGCCAAGATGTAGCGGAGCACCTCGGACGAATGGGTGATATCTCAGGGTTAGTTGGATTTGACGAAGATAAAGGTCGAACACCCAGTACATAATATATTTATTAATTCGATTTATTCAAGTTTATCACAACAAGAGATAGATAGTAGGCCCCAAAAGAAACCTTTATGGGCGAGAATCCAACAGGAGTTTCCAAATTAACAATTAATTTGCGGTAAACTAAAAAAAAAACAATAAACACCTAAATACACGATTAACAATGAGTAATTAATATACAATTCCAGGGCATTATATATGAAAAATAATCTGAAAACCCGCGCATGCCGTTTTTGAGGTTAATCAGGTTACATAGTGACATAACACGATAAACTTCATAATTTCCAATAATGAGGACTTACCTAAAAATGCAGGCCACATACACTGAATAAATAGGTACTCAAAGCCAGGGAGTATTGACATTCACCGAAATTGAATTGTAATTTGATAGATCTCGAAACGCAGACCAAGTTTCATGAAAAACGACACTGCCTCTCAGAATTCCTTCAGTCGTACATTTTAACATCACTGGGGGCGCCACCATGCAACACGATCTCAGGATATTCTACTGAACTGGTAGGTAGGCAACTGATAAAACAAAAATACAAAAGCACAGTGGCGGAACACAGATGACGCATATCACTACAGGCTATATGTAAAAAAATATATATACGGTTGACATATAATATGTAATATTATGGAAGCAATAAATCTGAATCGCAAAAGTCAAGACTTGTCTGCGAGATACAAGAGGCTTTTTTTTGCAGCTCAAGCTATTTCCATAAAAAAATTGAATCTTGTAAATCAAAACTTCCATCGAAGATAAAGGTTACAATGTGAATATTTCAATAATATAAAATTATACAATATAAATTTGGATAGAAAAGGATGAAAAATGAAAGAGAGTTCAAAATGAAGCAGAGAAAACCCAGAGAAAAAAAAATAGAGAAAAAGTTGTTTTATTTCCTGTTATACAGACAATTTCAGGTCGATTTTGTGTGCAGTACATCTTGGTAAGTCTAATAGCCATTTTTCACGTATTTTTTTAACATGTTTAGTGAATTAAGGTTTTTAATGTCATCTGGCAATTTGTTGTATGTCCGAGGTCCGAGGTATGTAAAACATCTAAGTGCCAGTGTTTTCGTTACTTTTGGTATGGAATAGTTATGTTTTGACGTGTATCATGATTATGTACAATTGTTCTAAAGTTTGTTGTAGTGTAGTAAGAACAAATCAGATGATTTGCCCCAAAATGTCACTACGTTTAAAGAATTCACCTATCAGAGAGGCTTAAACAAAAATTCACTAGCTTGTCAGTGAAAATTTGTATTAAAAAAGTTTTGGAGAAGAGAAATGAAGGTATATAGAAAAAATATCAAATGTTTACTTATCTTTGGACGTTCCGGGAACGAATCTACTTCCGTTTTCAACATAAAAAAATGGATTTTTGAATGGCAAATTCGAAATCTTCTTGACACTTCTCAGTTCTCAGGCACAATTGGTGACGTTGGCAATCAAATGAGTTACATGATGTTTCTATTAATCATTCTTGAATTTTCCATTCTCATTTTCAGATTTCAGTAATGAATACCATGTTCTATCTATATCAACTGAATAGGAAGCAATGCTATTGTCTCCGTTCAGAAGAATGCAAGCAGATTCATTGATTTTTCTCTTCTGGTTGTTATTCGTCTTGACCCTCCTCAGTTCTCAGTGAAAATTGGTCAAGTTGGCAATCAAATTAGTTACAGAATGTTTTCAAAAAAAACACATCGACAAATCGAAACTAGCTGAACATATCCTTACTGAAGATGGACAACATAAGGCAGAGTGGAATAATATTAAAATCATTGGAGAAGAAGATAACCAGATGAGAAACATCAAGGAATCTGCTTGCATTCTCCTGAACGGAGACAATAGAATCGCTTCCTGTTCAGTAGATATAGATAGAACATGGCATTCACTACTGAAATCTGAAAATAAAAATGGTAAATTCAAGATTAATTGATGAAAACATCCTGTTACTCATTTGATTGCCAACGTCACCAATTGTCACTGAGAACTGAGAAGTGTGACGAATACGAATTTGCCACCAAAATCAATTTTTTTTTCAATTCATAGGCTGAAAACGGGAGCAGATTCGTTCCCGAAACATCTAAAGATGAGTGAAAATCAGATATTCGTTTTGTATACCTTTATTTCTCTTCACCAAACCTTCTTCAATGCAAATTGTTACTGACAAGCTTTTCAGATTCTCTGATATGAAAATGTTTCAAATGCAGTGACATTCAGGGGCAAATCATCTGATTCGTCTTTACCACACGTATATTGAAATAATATAGACATTTTCATTTTATAGAGACGAGGAGAGAAAATCCGAAACAATCTAGAATAATGAAACACTGTATAGTATTCTGGGGCTCGGTTACTTTCTATATTGAGTCTTTTGGATATGATTAGAACGCCTGTGTTGAATTGGGAAACATTATGCGTTTGTTTCTGATCACTTCTATCTCTTTTGTCGCTCAGCACATCCTACAAAATTCTTTGTTATCAGTATAACTCTACTTCCTTTCATGCATAGAATATGTAGGATAATCGATGATTCTCGATACCAGTTGAATGTGCACTGAATAGTAACTCAACTTTGTGATTTCATATCTGCAGTGCTTCCATAAAGTACTGAACAAATTCATTCTTAGCGGAATTATTTATTTCTGAGGAATCTCCTGGAACAGGTCGAATTTTGATCTCAATTTACCACATTTCCAAGAGAAAATTCAATATATAGGGTTTTCTACGTCTGAATTATGACATCCGCGAGAATTTTCTGAAATGAAACACTCTATATAATCGAAAGTTTGAAATCTCGATGAAAAACTGAATTCAAAAGCATATCACACAAAGGGTTCGTATACAGTGCGTCCGATGATTCAGTGCAACGCTTAAATGGGGTAGCCTTAAAAAAATGCCGATGACCTACAGGAATCCTTCTGAATGTATTGACTGAATTCTGAAAAATGACCAAATGGAAATGACATTGGTCGTTGAGCGTTCTTTCCGAAAATTATGCCTCCGATTTTTTAGGAATTTATCCAATTATTCAGAAGAGCACTTAATTAACGGAAGCACTGTATACACACATAGAGATTGTGATATATTTTTGAATCCAACTCTTCATGGAGATTTGTAAAATGGAATCATACATAGCATTTCTTTTGATGGTATCGCCTAAAATGTCATTAGGCAAACGTGGATTACCCTGTGCATTCAATTCTTCCGTAAAAAAGTGACAAATTGGGATAAAAAAATCACCTGTTCCAAGAGATTCATTCAACAAACATTGGAGTTATAATTCTCGGAGCGATTCAAGAGATTGAGAATTTTATATGTCTCAAGGCAACTTTCATTTTCTTTCCTGGCTCTTGGATCTCAAAAGCATAATGAAATAATAATAACCTCTAGGTAACACAGAATATTCTATAATTTCTAGCACATTCCAGTGTTTGACTTCCAAATGTCTTGCAAACTTGCATATCACTTTATCACAATGAATGCATAATTATTCCTTGCTATTTTCAGCTCTACATGTGTTTTTTTCATGAAAAACTTGAAGACTGTGTATTTTTGGTAAGAGTAATATAAATTTGAAACAAAAAAAAATTAATTCATCTCATGGAAATACAAGAAGTTTCAATCATTTTTCCCTACCTCTGGGACGTACTTCACTCATTAGTTATTTTATGATATCTTGATGACTGGGTATTCTTATTTTTCAAATCGTCTATATCATCAAAGAAAACATGATAGAGTCATCGTCCACCAATATCCTCCAGTCCAGTCACTCCTTTGATGTGCTCGAAAAGGCGGCGGTTTTTGCGACTTGTCGAAAAGCATGCGGACACGGGTACAATTCGGAAGATGTTACACGCGGATCATATAACAGCGTAATAGAACGGTAAAAGCATCGTCCAAGGGTTACTACAAGGATCGTGCATTAATTTTCGTTTCGTCTATGTACTCACATTTATATTCTACTATAACATTTGGTTTGTTGGCTGTTTATTGAACTAAATCTGAAAGTATAAGTATACAATTCCACACATTTTGTCAATAACTCATTATGGGCCATATTATGGACCATAAACCTACGTAATTATTGAGGGATAGTACTAAAAATGAAATAAATGAGGATTGAAGTATGAATATATTACCTGTTCTCATGAAAAAACTGTAGATACTTCACCCGTTGTCTAGGTAGTGGTATATACCTACCTAATTATTTCAATGTTTTTTTAATTGTCCCGTACCAGCTAGTTTTGGTGGCTATTTAATCTCTTGTCCGATTTCAGGTGCACAAAAGATTGGTCGATAGGCAGAAGGTGATAGAGGCTGGTATATAACATAAATATCCACTTTCAACAAGCTTCCCTAATTTTGTGATATTTGTTAGTGTCGTATACCTACATGGATTAAAAATATAAAATGTTGTTGAAACCCCCCCTATCTCGAACACTGTATTTTTGAATGAGCTGATTTAAATGAATAAAACAACGTCGAAATGAATCACAATTTATATTGAAAGAAACTTATATACCTACTTTACATTCATTAAAACAAAAATATTCACATATTATGGAACCTACTATACAATTTGTTGAAACATAAACTTTATTAGATATTTAAAATACAAGTTTTGTAAAATTTTCAATTTAGGATTTCCTTTGTTCGCACAATGTGATTTTATATCCCTGTTTGCGAATTTCAATGTATAATAAATTCGTACTCTAGTATATAAAGAAATCAAGTAGTCATATGGAAAATTTGTACACGGGTGCGTAAATTCTACATTAGAATATTCTTCCAAGAATACATTTCCTACGCCATCTCGAATACAATGAGTATTGAAATTCTTACAAATATATTCTCTAAGGTTATAAAGATTAAATTAAATTATTCGGAGGGACTCGTAAACCACCAGATGGTTCTTGACTGGCGTCGTAAGCTTTGAACTCACAAAATATCATGGATTGATCTCTTTGCGAAGTTGAACTATACTTCAAACAAATATCGCATGAATGTTTCAAGAGACATTTTCGTAAAAAATATCCACCAACATAGACCAGTGCATTACCCTCTTCTGATATCAGATTCGTATAATCAGTCGATTGTACCTTCAATTCTGGCGACATATTGTCATATTTTTTCTTAAAAAATTTCAATGTTTTTGAATGAATCCGATGTTAATGTAAGCAACACATCTGAACTATCTTCTGCACAATTACTACCTTCAGACTCGTGGTAATATCCAATAGAAAATAGTTTTTTGAATGCTTTAGTGAATTGTATGGCAGTAGGATTCCTAGCGTTTCCACAAGCATTTCTGATTTGAACGAAATAATTCTCGAAACAATCCTGATTCTGACTGAATTATGAGAAATTCCTCTTACCATTATCACTAATGCACTGGTAAAAATTTTAGTTGATCTTCTGTTCTGTAAATCTTCAAAGCCTACTTTGACATCTCTAGAAACATTATAGAACAATTGTGCTTCAATTGACATTTCGTCGATGCATAATATACAATCTTTTGATTTATCTGACATCAACGGTACTCTCAATTCCAAAATATTGAAAATGAACTCATTGAACCCTGGAAAAATTTTCCAGTGTTCAGTGATCCTCCTCAGAGTAGAGGGAGACGGCAATCTTATGATTTTTGATAACTTCTTGTATGCCTTTGGTCCTAGCAATAATATCGTTAACCCCTTCGTGCCTGAATTAATATGCCCTGCGAAAAATAAATTTTCAAAGGAAAACCATTTATTTCCATAATAAAGTATATAAAAACGTTTTCATACATAAGTGGTATTGTTTTTTTTTCTCAAAAATATCAGTTGGTATCAAATTTGACATTATAGGCACTGGTGTAGATATTATATTCCGAAGGTGGAATGGGGTAGACCACTGATTTTTTAAAACGACATTATCGTGAACTCTATACTGAAAAACTACCAGTGAATTAATTTTGAATTTTTTCATTCATGCTAGGACGATGAAAAAATAAATAAGTATATGTCCATTACAAAACACATAATTCCTGCGCCATTTGATATGTCATCAATTCATTGGTGTGACTGGTGCGACATCTTAGTCCCAACACGCCTATTGTCCTTGAACTGACCAATTACACTGCAACACTGCACAATGACGAGGTATCAGAGAGAGATAGCTACAGTTCGGGACTAATACGTCACGACTCCACCATCATATTTGGCTGTTTGAAATATCGAATGAAATATGCTGATTTCAAAACGATATAGATTCGATTCCCTTCAACTTCAACTCATAATATTGATTGTACATAAAATGTAAATCATGATTCGTCGATTGAAAGAGGTTTGCACGGATTTCTTCCCTCAGTGGTCTTCTTCATTGTACGAAGCAGTTTTTTTCTTTTCTCAAGCATTAATGAACATTACATTTCATACATTTGATGCTTGAAAGCTGTTTGCAAGTTGGAAACTTGCAATGAAGTCTTTCTGATGTGACTGTGGGCCAGTGACTAGTTTGATCTCTTCTGACATCGAACGAAGGGATGGCGGCTGTAGGTCCTCGTCTCTTCATTTTGCAATGCTGGTAACCAACAGTATCTGTATCATTGCTCGGTCGTCCCCTTTTTTTAAATAAAGTTGATTTCCCGAAGAGACATAAGCTCTTTGCAATACTTGCCTTGAAGTTCAGCTGATCCTCGATATCTCTTTTATCAAGACCACTACTACGATGGTCAACTTTGTACATATTCCACGCATTGATTGTCATCATATCAATGAAGTGATAAAAAAAACGCATGTAATACTTCTCAGAACGTATTCCAATTCTATAGTTAGCAATTTGACCATCTAAAAGATCAACTCCTCCCATGAACTTATTGTAAATATCAACTGCAAGAGGTTTCTGAACAGTGATTTTTTTTCTTCCTATTCCATCTCTCAGTCATCGTGACTGGTTCTGCACTGGAAAATGATGTAGCCAGGTTCACCCCTCTATTGTCAAACCATTTTATTGCTCTGATAGTAATATCTTCTATTGTTGCTCCTTTCTCCTCGAACATGCCTCTACCTTTTTTATTCATGATACTATCAGAGCTGAAAGAACATCCTGGAAAACGATTGATTCTGATTGTACCTATTGCTCCTATCCCACGTTTTTGCAATTCAACGAAAAGTAACGGAGAAGAGAACCAATTGTCAAAATACAATAGATAGTTCCGGTTTTCAGGAATCATATCTGATAACTGGAGTACGATATTTGAACTCTGGCCTATATCTCTATGCTCTGGCTTCGGCTCTATCTTGCCCTTGTAAATATCGAAATTGTAAATGGTACCGTTTATATCACACAGAGCAAATATTTTATAACCCCACTGAGGAAAGGAACAATGTGTTCATCGACACAGAACATTTGTCCCTGGAGTGGAATGATTTTGCATTTTGATCTTATTTTTTCGAACAGTGGTCTTATTTTGAAATGCCGATCACGGTCTTCGTCGTTTTGGTCTGGCATTTCTTCATTATTGTTGAAATGAAGACATTTTCGAATTTCCTCATATCTGTGACGGCTCATGATGTAAGCAATAACAGGCAATCGAAATTTATTATTCCAATAGTTTCTAGTTCGATGAAAATCGAATATGGACATATACATGGTGACACCAATGAATTATTCCAATTCTGGTGAAGAGAGCCGTAATGGTTTGTTGGGATTATTCTGCAGTGCGAATAACTTGGATTGATCCACAATATGATTTAGCAAGTTTTCATCAAAAAACTTATGGAAATAATCTAAAGGTTTCAAGGCTCCTTCAGAATAAACCTGTGGAAGTTCAAAAACAGGAGTTCTTCTTGGAGAGTTACTTATACTCTTCCATTCAGGAAGCGACCTCGTATCCTTGTTCACTGAAGCTGCAGCTACTAGACGAGGCAATGGCAAATTATCCATCTCATCAGAGCTAGAAATGTGATCATTTTCTGATAGGATGTATTCTTCATCTTCATTTTGGCCATCACTATCAGCTAAATACTCATCTTCACTATTTTCTGGAGGTGACACAGCCACTTGAAAAGTATTTTGTTTTTTTCTCAGTTCCATATGCCTTTCCATCTGAAAAAGTGAATTCAATAAAATTGATGAAGTAACGATTCCAATGCCTACTGTATCAATTCTGATATGTATAATCAATTCAACGTGTGCCAGATGTATCAATTTTGATAAATTCTATTGTTTTCTGAAATTTCTAAAAACTTACAAAGCACACCAAATTAGGTATACCAATCATATAAAAGAAAAATAAATGAATTGGAAACCATGTTTTTTGAGTTCGTTGAATTGATGCCTATAGTAACACTTTTGATATTTCAAATAAATCCGTCAAAATCCTATTTTTATATTTAATATTAAAAAAAATATTCACAACTCACCATTGGGGAATATGTTCCGATGATCTATTGATTTTTTGAATAGTTTTCACTGGACGATTATCAAAATGAATTCTCTGAAATCACTGTAGACAAATATGAATCTGTTTCTGTAGAATTTAGAATGGTTAGTTTACATTTTCAGGAGTATAATTATATCTGTAACAGCTGGAAACTGTTTTCTGACATCATTCACTCACTTCGAGGTCCGAACGAGAGATGTCTCCACGATCGTGAATAATTTTCAAATGTATTTGACATTGAATTAGGTTTGTATCAATTATGATATATTAGACACAAAGGGGAACGCAAATCGTTTGAATTCATTAGAATACCTAGCTCCCTTTGGATTTTTATCAAGTATAAGTAATTCACTTCTTATGAACATAGTTGCCTTCTGTGGATAATTCTCGTCCAAAAATTTTGAAATATCCTGGAGAGTCACCTTTGTACGTTTCATTGCAGATTTGAGATCACTCTACAGTTCTCTGATCTTTCTTTTGAGGCCTTGCTTCCGGGGGCTATTTTGTGAAAAACTCTATAAACATATTGTCATTTTAGAAACTGGCGAGAAGATTCATATAAATATGAGGAAGTGATTTATCAGTTGTACGAACCTGTAACAATTTCGTGCTGGAATCCACTTTGGACTGATTTATCAGATTGTATGGGAACAGCATGAATTCCTTTATCAGACGTCGATGTAGCATTTTTGACATCTAAAAAATATTAATAGGTAGGTATTAGAAAAAATTTTGAATGCACCTACAAAAAGCCATGAACTCCACGACACATAAGCTGGAATTCATGGCTGTTTCCACACTAATTGTATGAGTGAGCAAATATGTACATTTTTGTTCTTCCTTCAAAATTTACCTTTGTCAATGCCCATACAAATATCTGTTTGTGTACATGCCTCTGACTTGAAAAAATGCAATACTTTGGAGGGGTCTGGTACGTCACCTTTCTGTCCATTGTCTAAGAAGAAACAGAATGCATTAATCAATCATTCTCAACTCATAAATATATATATATATATATATATATATATATATATATATGTTCTGAATGAATGTTCACCTATTTGGAAATAACTTGCTTGTGGATACGATAACAAGTAACAGCCTACTATCCAAATTTGGTAGAAACTTCGAGGGAACAGCAGTTTTCAGTAAATGTTTTCTAGAAGAAGTGAACGATGCATCATCAAAATGTGCACTGCAAATTCTGATACGACTGTGGGCTTCTTCAGGTGATAATTCTGCATATTTATGTTCTTCGACGAAACCTAATCTGGCCTATATCTCTATGCTCTGGTTTCGGCTCTATCTTGCCCTTGTAAATATCGAAATTGTAAATAGTACCGTTTATATCACACAGAGCAAATATTATATAACCCCACTGAGGAAAGGAACAATATGTTCATCGACACAGAACATTTGTCCCTGGAGTGGAATGATTTTGCATTTTGATCTTATTTTTTCGAACAGTGGTCTTATTTTGAAATGCCGATCACGGTCTTCGTCGTTTTGGTCTGGCATTTCTTCATTATTGTTGAAATGAAGACATTTTCGAATTTCCTCATATCTGTGACGGCTCATGATGTAAGCAATAACAGGCAATCGAAATTTATTATTCCAATAGTTTCTAGTTCGATGAAAATCGAATATGGACATATACATGGTGACACCAATGAATTATTCCAATTCTGGTGAAGAGAGCCGTAATGGTTTGTTGGGATTATTCTGCAGTGCGAATAACTTGGATTGATCCACAATATGATTTAGCAAGTTTTCATCAAAAAACTTATGGAAATAATCTAAAGGTTTCAAGGCTCCTTCAGAATAAACCTGTGGAAGTTCAAAAACAGGAGTTCTTCTTGGAGAGTTACTTATACTCTTCCATTCAGGAAGCGACCTCGTATCCTTGTTCACTGAAGCTGCAGCTACTAGACGAGGCAATGGCAAATTATCCATCTCATCAGAGCTAGAAATGTGATCATTTTCTGATAGGATGTATTCTTCATCTTCATTTTGGCCATCACTATCAGCTAAATACTCATCTTCACTATTTTCTGGAGGTGACACAGCCACTTGAAAAGTATTTTGTTTTTTTCTCAGTTCCATATGCCTTTCCATCTGAAAAAGTGAATTCAATAAAATTGATGAAGTAACGATTCCAATGCCTACTGTATCAATTCTGATATGTATAATCAATTCAACGTGTACCAGATGTATCAATTTTGATAAATTCTATTGTTTTCTGAAATTTCTAAAAACTTACAAAGCACACCAAATTAGGTATACCAATCATATAAAAGAAAAATAAATGAATTGGAAACCATGTTTTTTGAGTTCGTTGAATTGATGCCTATAGTAACACTTTTGATATTTCAAATAAATCCGTCAAAATCCTATTTTTATATTTAATATTAAAAAAAATATTCACAACTCACCATTGGGGAATATGTTCCGATGATCTATTGATTTTTTGAATAGTTTTCACTGGACGATTATCAAAATGAATTCTCTGAAATCACTGTAGACAAATATGAATCTGTTTCTGTAGAATTTAGAATGGTTAGTTTACATTTTCAGGAGTATAATTATATCTGTAACAGCTGGAAACTGTTTTCTGACATCATTCACTCACTTCGAGGTCCGAACGAGAGATGTCTCCACGATCGTGAATAATTTTCAAATGTATTTGACATTGAATTAGGTTTGTATCAATTATGATATATTAGACACAAAGGGGAACGCAAATCGTTTGAATTCATTAGAATACCTAGCTCCCTTTGGATTTTTATCAAGTATAAGTAATTCACTTCTTATGAACATAGTTGCCTTCTGTGGATAATTCTCGTCCAAAAATTTTGAAATATCCTGGAGAGTCACCTTTGTACGTTTCATTGCAGATTTGAGATCACTCTACAGTTCTCTGATCTTTCTTTTGAGGCCTTGCTTCCGGGGGCTATTTTGTGAAAAACTCTATAAACATATTGTCATTTTAGAAACTGGCGAGAAGATTCATATAAATATGAGGAAGTGATTTATCAGTTGTACGAACCTGTAACAATTTCGTGCTGGAATCCACTTTGGACTGATTTATCAGATTGTATGGGAACAGCATGAATTCCTTTATCAGACGTCGATGTAGCATTTTTGACATCTAAAAAATATTAATAGGTAGGTATTAGAAAAAATTTTGAATGCACCTACAAAAAGCCATGAACTCCACGACACATAAGCTGGAATTCATGGCTGTTTCCACACTAATTGTATGAGTGAGCAAATATGTACATTTTTGTTCTTCCTTCAAAATTTACCTTTGTCAATGCCCATACAAATATCTGTTTGTGTACATGCCTCTGACTTGAAAAAATGCAATACTTTGGAGTGGTTTGGTACGTCACCTTTCTGTCCATTGTCTAAGAAGAAACAGAATGCATTAATCAATCATTCTCAACTCATAAATATATATATATATATATATATATATATATATATATATGTTCTGAATGAATGTTCACCTATTTGGAAATAACTTGCTTGTGGATACGATAAAAAGTAACAGCCTACTATCCAAATTTGGTAGAAACTTCGAGGGAACAGCAGTTTTCAGTAAATGTTTTCTAGAAGAAGTGAACGATGCATCATCAAAATGTGCACTGCAAATTCTGATACGACTGTAGGCTTCTTCAGGTGATAATTCTGCATATTTATGTTCTTCGACGAAACCTAAAGCACCCTTCACTGTTGACACCTTCGAAATATCATTTCATTCAGACATTATTCAACAAAAAAATATCTACATATTATCATAAGACTATGAACAGTTTTCATTTAATATGTATTGTATCGGGTGGTCACAAAAAAACCGGAAGTTTTCATTTCCCTCGTGGTTTCATCATTTCTCAACCGAATTCGAATTTATTGGCGTCGTTTCATAGCTAAAGGGCTAAAGTATACAGTGGAATATTTGAAAATTTCATAATGAACAAAAACAAAATGGCGGATTCTACCAAAGTATTGTCATTTACAAAAACCGCTAGAGAAAAAGAAATTCAGATTTTTTCCAGCTTGTACCGATGTCGTCTCAGGCTATCCGTTTCTGAAGAGAATGTGTAGTCGAACATCGAAATCGAACAAATAGTCCAGTAGATACACTCATTTCTTTGCAATTTGTTATGGAGTGAATGTGCTAATCTCGTAAAAACGATTATTATTATTTTGCTTCAGGCTCCATGAAAATTCAGTCGAATTTGGATTTCTCAGAGTTATTCCAAAGATAAAAAACTGTAGTACACAATGGAACCTTTGAAAATCCAATAATTGAAAGAAACAAAATGGTGGAGAATCCAGAATTTTTGTGATTTTCAAAAATCGCTTGCGAATAAAAGAATGTTTATTTTTCCAATTAGGAATGATACAATTTTGGATCATGAGCACTCGAACATCTGAATCGAACAATTAGTCCAGGAGAAACACGTTCTTTTTGGCAAAGTGTTATGGAGTGAATGTGCCAATCCCGTGATAAGAATTACTTTTACTTTGCTTCTGGCTCCATCAGAATTCAATCGAATTTGGATCAATTAGTACATAGTGGAACATTTGAGAATTTCATAATTGCAAAAAAATTGAGTATCCCTAATTCGAGTGATTTTCAAAAACCGCTAGCGAATAGAAGAATGTTAATTTTTCGATTCAGAACCGGAGTAATTTTATATCATTAATTTCTAAAGAGAATGAGCACTTGAACATCTGGATTTAACAAATAGTCCAGAACTTGTACGCACTTTTTTGCAATGTTATGGAGTGAATGTGCCGAAAAACGAACTTCTAACAATATATTTCCATCTGATTACAACATACTAACAGCAACAACAACATAACAAGAGAATATGATACATACTGACATAACAAAAAAAGTTGAACATACTAACAGCAACAACAACGTAACAAAAAGAATATGAAGTCGAATAACAAGATTAGAGTCACACCAAGATGAACGTCAATGAAGATTACGTGAAACCCTGAAAATATACGAAACTTCAAACCAATAGTAGTTGAAACATAATGAATCTTCAAATAACCTGGATGTGTCCCCTGTTTGCTTCAACTACAGCAACTAGCCGTCTACGCCATCAGCTCTGTATTAACCGGGCTATTTCTAACTGAGGCATTCCATTTTCCCAGCAATAAGTGATTCTTTGCTCCAAGTCTTTCAAATTCTCGAAGAATCTTCCATTTGTAATCAAATCTCAATAATTCAAAGCATTTATTCTGATGCCTTGGTCCAAAAAAACAATTTGAGATTTTTTCGTTTGAGACACTGCCAACGAAACCATCACATGAGGGGGGAGATGTATTTTCTCAATATTTACTCTAGTCGATGGAACTTCATTCTTTCTTACGTTTGCTCTAACTAAGAATCTGTCATTTTGACTATTTTTTGGGGAATCCAATAAAAATACTTTTTCGTCTGAGAACCATATTTTTTCTATCTTTTCTCTCAGCCGGAATCTATTCAATAAATTCCAGCAACGCTGCTCTCTCCGAATCTTGTTTTGTTCACTCAAGTAAAAAGTTCTAAGATTCAAATCTTTTTCAATAATATTCATGACTGTTCCCCTTTTGATGCCTGTTCGGGATGAAATTTGCCGGACACTCAAACTTTCACCTGGCTCTTCATCATCGCTAACGGCCAGTTCATGGACTATCTGAATATTTTCCTGCGAAAAATAATCACATTTGTTCAATTATAATCTCAAGTGGGGTTTCAGTAATAGTGAAGTCGAGTCGTGGAATATAAACAATTCGTTCAATTCATCACCCTGTAGCCAAGTTACTTGTGTTCTTCCTGTTCTTTGTCTTCCACTTCCTAATTTCCTCTGAATTGTGCCACTCTGACGTATTTTATGTATCAAATCATACACAGTACTTTTTTTGAAACGCATACTTTCACGAAAATGGTGATATATTTTGTGAGATGACCATCCGTCATGAAATAAACATTTGATCAGAAATTTATCATAATTTGAAAGTACCATTGTTCAAATCTGTTTTTGTTTCGTGAATTGACAATTACTCACTGTAGACAACAATGTTTGACATTTCACGAACATGGTTCGATATTTTTATCCAGCCTACTTGGTTAATCATTCGATTTCAATATAATATGAATATAATGAGATTAATTCATTTTAGTATAAAGTTCCATATATTTTCAGGGTTTCACGCAATCTTCATGGACTTACATCTCGATGTCAATATCAACATTTTTCTATTCGCAAGCGGTTTTTGTAAATAACGAAAGTTAGGGTTACTCCACCATTTCGTTTTATTTTTCAATTATGAAATTTTCAGATGTTCCACTGTGTACTACAGCTATTCAGCTTTGGAATGGCATTAAACAATCCAAATTCGATGGAATTCTGATAAAGCCAGAAGCAAACTAAGAGTAATTCTTATCACGGGATTGGCACATTCACTCCATAACACTTTGCCAAAAAGAACGTGTTTCTCCTGGACTAATTGTTCGATTCAGATGTTCGAGTGCTCATTCTTTTTAGAAATCAATGATCTGAAATCGTATCGGTCCTGATTGAAAGAATAAACATTTTTTTATTCGCCAGAGATTTTTGAAAATCACAAAATTCTGGATTCTCCACCATTTTGTTTCTATCAATTATTGGATTTTCAAAGGTTCCATTGTGTACTACAGTTCTTTATCTTTGAAATAACTAATCTTTGGTAGAAGTCCATATTGCTCAAAGTGGAGTAAAATATTTCACAGGAAGGAAGGAATGCTCGGAGTCATCTCCACAAATTTTAATGATATTTTTAACTAAATCATGAGGGACATGTTTCGGTTTTTGGTCAAAATTTTTCTACCACTTTGTCCAACATATTGAGCATTGCAATTTGAATCAGAGCAAGATAATAATAATAATAATAATAATAAGTTTATTTACCAAAATGTTATTACAAAATTAACACTAGAATTGTTGTTGTAATGTAAACAAACATGGAAATCCCACTAAAACCAAAGTTGCGCGTGGGCTTTGCAATATTTAATTTACAATATTCCATATACATATGATATTAAAAATAGAAGATAGTTCGAATTGGTCTCACTTTGTAAATATTAATATTGATTCCTAACATTTTGACATTCAACCTATCTTAGATATAACTAAGAGAAATTCATCTATAAATAAAATAAAACACAAACAATTTGTAAAGTATTGGAAATGACAAAAGATTCAAGTTCAGAACATAGCTTTTGATAATTCTTTTCAGCATCTGGCTAGAATTTGTATTCACTATATTCATTTTCTGTTCAGTGGGCAGAAAATTAAAGATTTTCGGAATGAGGTAAGAGATATTTCGTTGTCCGATTTTTGTACTACTCAGGGATGTTTTAACATGATATTCTTTTTTGTTTCTAGTGAAATGTTCGTGGTCAATATTATTTAATAGATATTTGTTTTTGTGGATATGTGTAAGTAGGTATGTTATAAAAAAATGTTTGTCTCACATCGAGTATTCTTGCTTGTGAAAAAATCAGATTGCTAGAGAAGGTTGGTTCTTTATCATACATTATTTTCAGAAGTCGTTTCTGTACAGTTTCCAACTTTTTCAAGTGAGTAGTTGCAACCCCTCCCCAGCTCAATATGGCATATTGAATACGAGATTCCACTAGAGCGAAATAAATGATCTTCAAGTGGTGAGTATCAAGTATTTTACTTAAATATTTGAATTTAAACAGCATACTTCTTAGAGTTTTTGTAACATTCCCAGTGTGAACGTCCCATCTCATATGACTATCCATTGTTACACCTAGATATTTGATGGTATCTGTTCTGGAAATATCAATAACCGAATTGTCGCTATGTATATTCAGGGTGTTGAAATTTGGTAAATGGTTTCTGTGAGCTGTAAAGGTCATAAATTTTGTTTTATCAAAGTTGATTGTTAGTAGTTGGTGATTGAACCAGTCAATTATCTGCGACATATCAGACTCTACTTTTTCTTTCAGGTCGTGCCAACTTTCATCCTCATAAAAAATCACAGTATCATCTGCGAAGCTGATTATAGATCCTGAAGTATTCAGGGTGAGTAAATTATTGAGATATATTGAAAATAATAGTGGCCCAAGGACAGTGCCTTGTGGCACACCAAACTGGACTAACTCTTCTGAACTCAGTTTATTTTCAATTTGTACGAATTGTTTCCTCTGATGTAGATAACTCTCAAGGAGGTTATAAGGTCTTCCTCGAATTCCTATATCTTCCAAGATTTCTAGTAGCTGTGTATGGCTCACAGTATCGAAAGCCTTAGAGAGATCTAAAAATATACACAGACTTGGTTTTCCGCTATCTATCGCTTTATAAATTTGGGATGTTAAGCCAATTATTGCATCTTG